AGCGAACTTACAGCACGTAGAACACCGCTGAGAGCTTGAAGAAACTCTATAATGTCTCCAGCCTTTTCGTAGAACTCGCAAATTGACGTTACAGGTTCACGGGCGAAGTCGCAGACACTGGAAGCGTAGCTTCGAATAGACATTATAGAACAGATCTAGTGGAAGAATAAAAAACAAATCTAATTGGAGGAAAAACAAAAGAGAAACAAAAAAACCGTAAGATAGTGAGATCATGAAGATCTACGGTCTACAGAAACTCAAGAGAAAAGCGATTATTCTAAATCAACATCTGCTACACATACCGACTGATCCACTCTGCGCATTTTGAGTTGATTTTCTGAGGTAACAATGGGCTCGTCTTCGATTCCCTAAGCTGCCTTGTGACCTTCTCTGCTTCAGCCGTAAGCATACGACCAAATGAAAACGCTTCGTCACCAATAAGAGAGTCAATGAGGGCTAAATTTGATCATACAAAATCAAAAGCAAAAGTGTAGTATCCACGAACCTGGTCGATATGTAGGACTTGCTGCGGCTTGAATAATTCGGAATAGTTCACCTTGGGAAAAGAGTTGTTCGATTACAACCAAAGACTTCTTCAGCTCATTCACTACGGTAAGCAAAGAGCTGGACTCAGAAGTCAGGTTTTGGATGAACTTCTAGATAAAGGGGACAGGTTAATTTGAAAAAATGAGAAAAGCACAACATTTACAAATGACACACTCAAAAGTTCACCTTCCTTCCCTCCAGATAAATGTCAAGGAGCTTCTCATAGTCTGTGCCTTGCAGCAAAGCTAAGGCTGTCAACTGATTTGCAACCCAATCGGTCTCCGACAACTCGCCGATCTCTTCCTCCAAATCAGCAAGAAGCTGGCGACGAGTACGAATTAGCCTGCCCGTAAGACCAGTAACAACCGAATGCATCTGCAAGAGCAGGCTAAGACGCTCCAGAAAAGATAGCAAGATCAGTACGAAGAAAACTTTTTACTGATCACAGTTGGAAATTAAACGAAAAACTAAAATTCGAACAACGTCTAGACGTACCGATGGCGAGAGCGGCTCTGTCGCAAGCTCTTTGTGGAGAAGTTCAGCCAATGTTAGGGCAAATGCATCACTGAGGGCATCTCCATCAGAATCTCCGATCACAGCAACAAGTTTGTGCAATGCAATAAAACGCTGCACAGAAGCTTGCTGTTCGCGTGTAAGAGGTCTAAACATGGAAAGAATCGAAGAAACTAATTGTTGTTTTCCAGCAAAAACACCTACCTTGGCTCAACAACAGATTGCGTTGTTCTAGCATTGGAAACAGCTTCAGCAAGGGTTTCAGCAAGCTTTCTGATGTTTCGCACCTGTAGGTAAAAGTAATGGAACGTCTAGAGGAGCTTCAGAAGGGCAAGTTTGAGCGCCCCGAAATAGCTGACCTCACTAGAGGCTTCCAAGACATCGCGATATCGCCGTCCTACCATTTCACGTAGTTCTTCTTTCTTTCCTTCCATTTCATTTCTACAAAATGAGCTCAACAGAAAAACAGGAACAGAACCTTTTTCAAATAAATACTGATTGAAATGGGATTGAAGCGCAACACAAAAGAATTCATATTGAAAATCCTAGTCCGTCAGTGGATCTCGGCATGACTTTTGTGATACCCAGTAGATGGTGTAGCTGAGGCCATGATGTTCTACAGATCAGTCTCAAATATTCGGTTTCAGAGCTCCGAAGGAGACGTCGAAACGTCAATCTGGCGACTGTAAACAGTGTTGGCCTTGGCTACAACATCTACTAGAAAATTAATATTCAGTTCCTTACTATGTGCCTCCTTCTTGGGTGCATAAATGAAAAGAAAGGCATTGCAGTAATTCTCTAGAGGATATATTACTGGACAGCACCTCTACTACTTAAACAACGATTTGCAAGATAAAACACTAACTGCAGATTCCCCTGTATGTGATGCAGTTGCTCAACCGTAAGATCTTTCATAAGCCTTTCAACGTCCATGGCTGCAGTCGTTTCGCAAATAAAACTAGATCAGTGCTGCAGTCTGCCTTGTAAGGCAATCTTCCCTATAAACTCCCGCATTTTTCTTCAAATCGATATGTCATAAATATATAATGCCAGAAGACATTTTGGTAATCAGCGGCGTGTTCTCACCAATGTTAGACACAAAAACGATATATCATAACATTTTATTAAGCACATGCATCGCAAGCAATACATAAAAACAAAAGTTTACAAGCGCACTGTGAACCAGAAGCTAACGTTATAACCGTAGTGCACAAAGAATATGTGGTGATTTCTATTGTGAAGCAGTATAATCATATCACTGGCTTAAATTTTAAAAAAACAAACAATCAAATACAGTCTCTTTCACGCGAAGATAGAATCAAGTGATAATTAACGAAGCAAAACGGCGAAGAGATCCATACCGCCACATCATTCTCCAGAGCGGAGAATAAGCAACTGGGTGTAGTTTTCATTATCACTTTGGTGTAAAGATGATAGACTTCTAATGGCCTACTTCGCCTTTCTTGCCAGCCACCTAAAAGATATAACAGGTGCATAATCACATATCGTAATGTAGGAGGAAAGGAGTTTCTCTCCTCCAAGAGTATATTAGGCTTACCCGCTTGAATTCATTCATGTTTACTCCGCTCAGTGGTGTTCCATAGATTCTCAGCTTCTCGATTTCAGTTACCTACAACATCATGAATGAGATGCTTTCCGAGCCTGTACCTGTAGTAGTACATACATCGCCTCCACCCTGATTGTTCTCGACAAAGAGCTGAAGATTGTTGACGTTTTGGAACTTCACATATTTCAGCTGCTGCAGTTCTGGCTCTGAAAAGAACAAATTCAAACTTTTCTACGCAATAAGTCCGGAAATAATAAAATGTTGAAAACTGGAATCGATATAAACCAATAGCAAGCTGCAAGCTATTTAATTTTTACCGCTTCGTACCGAAATGGACAAGACAAACATGCATGCGCAAAGCCAGAACCGAAAAAGTTCAATCAAATTTCGTTTAAAATAGGTGGCATATGCCTCTTGCACTATGGACTCTTCAATCAGAACAAGATAATTTATGTAATCTATTGAAAATACATATCACGGCAGCCCAGTAAGCTAAACCAATATTTGAAGTATTGCGGATAGATTCAAAAGGAAGCTAGAGAAAATTGTCGAGAAAAAATCAGAGTAAGTACAAAATTCATTGAGAACTCACCAGTCCCGGCCTTCTCACTGAACTCCAGCACTTGAACTGCTTCGA